TATCATCCATCCATCTATTCATTCATTCATTCATTCATTCATCTGTCCATCCATATTGTTAAAGATTGAATGAATATTTATCGAAAAGTACTTGAAATGATAAAAAGTACATACTTTAATAATTTGTATTCATGAAATTACTATAATGCCATAACAGTGATAACAAAACGAGAACTAACTTATTTATCTTTAAGTGTAGAAAAAGTATAAAAATTTGTTCAGTCAAGCATTGACGTGAAATAATAAAGGCAACAGCTGCGTTTGCAAAAAATAAAAATGTGAAAAAATTAATAAATTTAAATTTTCATCACTTAAAACTGTAAAAAAACAGAATTAAAGAGTGGATAAATATATAGAGAATGATGTAGTGGTAATAGCGTATAAAGCAAATAAGTCTTTGAAATAATTTTGCTAGTTGTTATCGTTATTCTTTGCTTCGTTAGTTAGTTAGTTAGTTAGTTTGTTTAGTCTAGTCTAGTTAGTTAGTTAGTTAGTTAGTTAGTTTGAACTGAGTTGAGCTCAGTTAAGTTTGGATATTTTCAAAAAAAAGTTTAAATTTTATACTACAGCTATTGAATTTCAAGCAAGCTAAATGTTAAATAGATAAAAAAAAATAAGAAAAATTGAATGATTAAAAATTAGCAAAATATAAAGAAAGAAAAGTAAAGCAAATCTAAACGAAAAAATAAAAAAGCATTAGCCACTAAGTTATAAATAATAACAGAAAATTGAAATTCAAGAATTAAACAAAAATAATTAGAAGTTTTCAAAGCAAAGCATAAATGCTATTAAAATTAAATAATTTATTAAAACAAATACACTTAAAGAAGCAAAACAATTAAAAATAATTATTAAAAGTAAATAACGACAAAAAGAAATAAACCTAATAATTATTACTTTTTATATTTCAACCTGCAAATTATCATAATTTAATGCGCATTTATTTATACACTCTACCTGATAGAATTACTAGGAAATGTGTGATTATGTCAAATCTATTTTCATCGTATTCATTAAAATAACCATGATAATGTATATCTTTCGCATAATGAAGTCACTGCTGAAAGTTAGTCTATATCTGCGACTTATCCATGCGTAAATATATCTTATATATG